ATTCAAATAATAACTTTTAATAATTTTGCCATTACAAATTTAATCTTTACTTTTAATTAGATAATAGTAAAGTATATTTTAAAGTTGTAAAATTTTATTTATCAATAAAAACAATTTTGTGAAATAAAATATATAAATCTTCGATCAAATAATTGAAAAAAAAAACAATCTATAAAATACGTATCTTAATTGTGTATATTTTTGAAATATATTATCTACATTTCAAGTATGTTAATGCATGATTAATTTTTTTATATCTTTAATTAAATATTTAAATATTAATATATTAATTAAATATATTATATAATTACTATATGCAATTTATTTGTTCAATACAGCTGCCTCTACAAATCCTTTCATTGGAGCAAATGTTGGTACAACTAGCACGAGTGCAACAAAATGGTAGTCACCGAACGATAAAGATATGCTACATATATGTTAGAAAATTTGTTATGTAACTTCTTACGGGGTGGATTTTCACATATGAATAGTATGCTAGATATCAAAAAGATTGTTATCAAGAAAATTTTTTGCAAACGTATTTCTCATTCATTTTCTTGTTAATTATTGTTAATTGATGAATAATGAATTAACTTTCAAATCAATTTTTAATTATCTTGATATCTTTTTTTAATATGAAATAATAAAATATTTGAATTTAAATGTTTTAGTAATTTAATTTTAATATATATATAATAACATAAAATGATAACATAGACTTCTATACTTCTTTGAATTTTGAAAAAATTTAATGGATACATGTCGGACTAGAAATAAAAGAAAGAAAAAAAAGAAAAAAAATTTAAATAAAATAAATATTAGAAGCAAGTGTTAATAGAAAATATTTTAAATTTTTATATAAACATATTATTTTTAAAATAAATAAGATTTTTTTATAAAAATTTATTAAAGATTACGGAAAGATTAAAGATTATAAAAGAAAAAATGATATTAGTGTACATATACAAATCCACCCCGATTTTGCGAATAGATAAGTAACAAAGAAAAAGAAAGAAGGGTCTCGATATATAAATATCTCATTCACAAATTTTCAATTATTCTCAAAATTGAAAAAAATATTAAATATAAATATTTAATGATAAACATTTTGTTAATGCATGGAATACATAAAAAATTATACACGTGTGCGTAAATAAAAATGGCTTAAAGTTATTAGACTTTTCTCTGTTAATTAATCATATTAATTATCATATATATATTGTAATTAATATGATAATGATATGAAGAAAGAAAGAACTATTACTAATTTGTACAGTTATAAGTTCATCTAACTGCTTCTTATTTTAATAGATATACATATATTTATTTCTAATAATAATTATTATACTTTATGAAACATGTGTATATACTGAAAATGAATTTGCCACAAAATGAAACTTCCAATATTTGTTAGGATGATGTGAAATTAATGCACAATATCATAATATTTATTTTGATTGATATTTATTATAGAAAAAAAAAAAAAGAACTTAAAGATTCGATATCAATAATCATCATGTTTGGAATTTAATTTAAATGCTACATTATATGTATTTTTATTAAGATAATATAATTGATTAGAATAATTTATAACACATAATATTAAAATAAACTGATAAATTATTGGAATAAATAAAACTACACAACGAATTTAATTTTATCATGAATTTAAAAACATATGAGTTTTTTATTCATTATTTGTTCTTTTTAATTAACAAATTATAAAGTTTCTTCTTTTATTTAAAGATAATAATATAAAATTAAATATGAAGATAAATTACTTTTAATAATACCTTAATATTAATATTTAATGTATATTAAGAAATGTATGCATTTTATGTGTTGTTATTGTGTTGTTATAATATATATTTACGTAAAATATAAACAATATTTTAGTAGTTTTTACTATCTTGTTGTCATGTATTACATAAATTGCTTCATATGCGCATTTTCTCTTTTATATGCGCGCGCGCGCAATATATACATACATAAAGTTATAACATTATTATATAAAAATTTATTTTAGCTTTTATAGAGTAATTCATTTTTGCATTTAATTTATTCTTGTAATTTGTTTTACAAATATAAAATAGAAATCGTATGTTAGTTGTAATTTTTCTATGTAAGAATAATATTTACTATTAATCGTATAATGTACTTATCTTTATGGAAAAGTTATTGAAATATTTTTTAAAAAAGTGTTCTTATTAAGTAAAAAGTTATCTTTTAGTTTACATATAGGTTTATATATACATATTATTCATTTAAAAGTATATAAATTGCATTAATTTTACAACACCCTGATATATTTAATCTAATAATAAATCTCAAAAAATGTTAAATCTTGCTTTATTTATAATTAAAATTAAAAATATTATAAAATTATCCCTTTTGCTTTGCCTTCTCAGAATCAGAATATTATATCTGTAAATATCTATGTAATGTATTATGAAATAGCAAATAATAAAATTTATCATGCAGATAAGGCAATTAAAACAGATCACTAAAATATTAAAGTTTTGAGAAAGTAAAAACATATTTTTAATCATGAAAATTGTTTGATATGGAGACCAGTATTACTTGTAATAATATGTTTTGTTCATAATTTTTTAAGAAGTAATTCGAGCCTACTATATTCTACTATAATAAAACGTTTGTATTTTCATATTTATACTACATGTAGCTGTAGATTACCATATCATTTCATATCATATAATTATAAAATGAATTTTATATATATAATATTTTAGTTTATTTAATTAAAGTATTTAAAAAGTATGATGATTATGAAACATTAATGAAAAAAATTAATATGTTGTATTTTGTATTTTGTATGATTGATATTTTATTACGAATATATTTATTTTTTTCAATTTTCAAAATTTATATTTATATAATTCAGCTTTAAATATTAAAAATAAATAAAAATAAAGATATATTTTTACATCTTGCTATAAAATTAATCATAATATTGAAATGTTTAATAATTTTTAATATTTATAAATAAAATTTTTCTTTCGTATATTATTCCATATCAAGCAATCTTTATTTGAAACATTATTTTATTTTTAAAAATATTATATTTATCTTCAAAGAAAGATGACTTGTTTTAAATGTCTGCACCTGTATGTATTATGTATGTGTAGTATAATACATCATCTATAATATGTTGTACGTATGCACATATATATATGTACAGAGTGGATTATTTATTTCAGAATTAAAGAATTCTGAGATATAATTGCATTATATATCTTTTCCTAAACTACTTTATTATATCATTATTCATAATAATATATGTGTCATAATAATATATATATATATATATATATATATATATATAT